TATTTATCCTCTGTAGACATGAGATGAGAACTTTAAATTCGCAGTATTTGAAATTTGCTCATTATTCGTTAGGCATAAAACAACGCCCCAGCTTACTAAATTATGTTTTATAACCTCTAAAAAATAGTTATGAGACAATGTTTTCATTACACTGTCTCAAAACAGCTGTCTTACTGATCGTTTGGAGTCCCTAAAGATAGCTTTTGCCATAGATAAAACATAGTCCCTTAGTAGATTTCCCATCCTTAGTGAACAGCTGAAGCCAATTTTATTGTTAGTTCTGTCCGGTTTTCTGTAGATGTCGTGTTTTGTTTACAATTTGTGTCTATTATTTTAGGGTTAGTTTCTCATTATTTGTGTCTCACTGTTTAGTTATATAGCTAGTGGGCGAGTTATTGTTTATGATTAGATAGTTTTATTTGGTTAAACGAAGTTTTAAATTACTGAAATAACAAGAAACAAATTGTAAACAAAACACGACATCTACAGAAAACCGGACAGAACTAACAATAAAATTGGCTTCATCTGTTCCATAAGGATGGGAAATCTACTAAGGGACTATGGTTTATCTATGCTTTTGCGGACTAGTCCGTAAAGTTTTAAGGACTCAAATCATATGGTTATTCAAAGCTTATCTAAAAAACAAATCAGCTGTTCTGATCCTTTAAAATGCTTCAACAATATATAAACAAATTGTGTTTGTTTCTTACATAACCTGATTCATTCAGTGTTACCTTTGACTATTGCATTTTGGAGTAGTGGCAGTGAAAATGGACCAAATTAGTCTGCTGACAATGTAATAAAAAGTATTGTTCATAACTCGTCCTAAAATGCTATTTTGTGCCTTGATCGAATTTCCACTAGTTAAACACGATATCGTCCCAAAAGAGCTTACTTTAGGGACTAGCAATGAAAACTACTATATTGAATTTCAATTCTATACATCAAAATTTTATGTTTTGGTGGTCAATAATGGGGAAGCCCAATTTTCACCCCATATAACCTCCTGCCATAGGTCCTGGGCCTGGGTCTCACAACGAGACATGCGGTAATAGCTCATTTTGAAAGCTAAACTGTATCCATTTTTTGGTGGGGTTAATTTCCAGATTTCTTGTTGTCCATCATTTCTCTAACCAAAAGCTCCATAAGTGAGTAAGTAATAAACTTATTTATGAGCGTGTTTAATTTGAATATATTTTGTGCATGTTGAATTTTATTAACGCGTTTTCTTGTCTATTTCAGGTTGTGTTACACCAGTTCACATGGCTGGGATGTTCAGAGAGGACTGTTACGAAAGGTATATAAAACACATTATATAAATAACTAAATTAGCACCCCTTATAGTGGAAGGACACTTCCATTTAAATAGTGATAGTGAGACATTTTAGTGTACTAGTACACAGAGTTTTGTTACTTTCAGTACAACTATTATGGGGGGATAGTGGTAGAAAATGTGGAAATAGTCAACGTATTTTACTTCTACTGCGGTCTCTATACCATGATGATGGGGTTTTAAACTACGATAGTATTATACAAAACTGATAAATAAGAATTGACACAAGACTCGTTTTGGCATTTCAGGCCATACGTAAAAATAACATCCCCGCAAAACCTGCAGACTAAGCGAATTTCCATCTACCTGGCTGGAATTCCACTAAATCACTACCTAAATTACTCTTTTAAGATTGTCAGGTTTATTTTCTATTCAAATATAATTCATTTTAATGAGTAATTAGGTTTGCTGCTACAGGGAAGGCAATAAGGTGTGTTTTTTATTGATATAATGATAAAAGTGTAAACAAATTTTCCTCATTTCATTAAAATATATCCATAGACAAGCAAGCTACACACCAGTTTATTGTTCTCCATAAAAATAGCATGGTAATTTTAGAATTACACTTTTTTTGGAATTTTTCCCGCAACCGTTAGGTAAACAACAATGCTTCAACATACTAAAATTTGTTATTTTGAGCTCTACAAAATGGTTTGTAAAGGAATTGCAAAATTTTACCTTTTTTGGGTGAACCATAAACTCCTGTTCCCATAGTCCGATCATGCTGGTTCGCGAACTCGAATAAGTATTTTTAAACACGTTTTATACAATATTGCATCAAAATCGGATCATTTATGCTCGAGTTGGCCCGTAGAGGAGCAATGTAGGGAGGGACCAGTATCTCAATTTACTCACGTAAGTTAATTAGAGAAAGTAGTTGATGTGCACTTTCTTTATTATTTTTGTCTCTTAATCTATCTCTATCTTTATGTTTTAGCTCCCGCCAGTCCGTCTACAATCCATTCATAGTACAACCGGGAAATATGTTTCTCAACTCCAAAGGGTTGGATATCCTACGGAAGCTCATCTCTGAAGAACTCGTGGACCATGACTTGAATGGAAAATGTACTGTTCATGCTTGATGTTTGATGTGATGCTCGTTTCATGATGTAAAAAGCTTAATTTTTAGCTAATGTTTTTCATAGTGTGAATAGTTTAAGAATATCAGACTATAATTCTAGTTTGTTTGTTTTGTGCATACAAATTATATTGAACTAATTAAAACAGTTTATAGTACTTTTATTTGGTTAGTTCATTTTTGTAATTTCCTTCAGACCTTTATTAGCAAAGATCGCAAATTATAATGGATTAACTAGATAGTTTGTTCTATGAGCTAGAATCAAGCCTTAAAACTATGTAACTGCCTATACCAGCTTTAATTTGGCTTAATTGGTAATTTATTAGTTTAAAGACCAGTTGAGTTCAATATTACTGTTAGCATTATAAAAATCATCAAGGGGCACAACATGAAACATAATTAACATTGGCATTATTTGGTCATAGTTTCGCTGTCTTGCATGTTATTAATCATTGACAAAATATACGACATGTGGGATAAGATACTGCTTTCGACTTAGTCTAAATATTTCTAAAAATATCAATCGGGTTTTAAACAACGAAAACTTTATGCGCCAATGATGTAACATGGATTATTCTTATTTTTATATAACTTACGTAATTTTATGTTAAATTCACATTTACGTTTTTGAGATGATACATATAAAATATATCTTATTATCTATTAAATTATTGCAGACATTTGCCAAAACCGATTAGTAAAAGCAAAGTAATGGTAATGTTTGCAAAATTCAAAGTAATAAGGTAAAGTTGCTATCACTAACAATACGTCTCTTTATGAACAGAATAAGGCTTTAACACTAAAGAATCACACTTGACACATGTCAGGGATTATATGCTAACAGTCAATAAATAACATGGGATTACCAATCTATACCACAAAGTAAAGAAGGAAACCCAGAGTATAAAATATTATAACACAAACGTGTCTACTGTGTATTCATACGAGTCCGCGAACCAGCGATCGAGTGGTGGGAACCATAGATAAAACCATAGATAAAACATACTCATAAAACATACTCCCCTAGTAGATTTCCCATCCTTATGGAACAGCTGAAGCAAATTTTATTGTTAGTTCTGTCCGGTTTTCTGTAGATGTCGTGATTTGTATTTGTTTACACTTTGTTTCTTGTTACTTCAGTAATTTAAAACCTCGTTTAACCAAATAAAACTATCTAATCATAAACAATAAACTCGTCCACTAGCTATATAACCAAACAGTGAGACACAAATACTCAGTAACTAACCCTAAAATAATAGAAACAAATTGTAAACAAAACATGACATCTACAGAAAACCGGACAGAACCAACAATAAAATTGGCTTCAGCTGTTCCATAAGGATGGGAAATCTACTAAGGGAGTGGTTTTATCTATGTGGGAACTATGGGGGAAATGCAAATAGTCAAAAATATTTTATATATATATATAGTTTACTTATTTTCAAGGAAAACCCCCCTCGATTTATCGTAAGAGTCAGTGATATACAGTCAATGATGCAACTAGAGCTTCATGGTAAAAGATGCAGCCATAAACAAACACGAGTTGGAAAAACTACTCGTTCTACGACCGTCTCGCCGCAGTAAAAATAATACGTTACTCTTTTTTTGGAACCTTTACATTTGCGATAGTGTCGCTCTTTGGATCAGATTGGATGGAACCGTTCCTGATAAATATATCAGCCAAAGCGGCCAAAGCATGCACATTAGTAGTTCTCTGTTAATATTGTTATGTTTTACAATTTTCTCAGGTCCCTTCGATACCATGTAAATATCGGAACAACTGATACCGATACGATACCAGCAGTATCGCAATAAAAGTATCGATACATACTGGTATCGATTCGATAGTATCGCAAAATCCCTATGCCTTGTCCCCGTTCCCGTTCCCGTGGGCTGTGACAAAAATTGTCGTCTGCTCTGCTGCTGCTCTGCAACTGCAAGGAAGCAAAGCAAGAAAGCAAGTGCAGGAAATGCTAGTGGTAGTGGCCGGCCGGTGGGGCACACGGGAGGGACTAAGGCTAACATATCTTGTAGTGTCAGCGTTCGCCGCTAGGACTGCTAAGTTGAAAAAATTTAAATTAATTTTTAATTTTTTATTTTTTGTTATAAAATTAACTTTTTAATTATAAAATATTGTTTAAAATTATAAAATAAATTTTTAATTTTTAAAATTAAACTTTCATAACATAACCTAACCAACCAGACTTGCTGATAATATAAAAACTACATAAGATAAAAATCTAATTAATGATTACTTATAATTTTTAATTAATTATAAAATTAATTTTAAAATTTAGTATTTTAAAATTAAACTGTCATAACCTAACCTAACCAACCAAACTTGCTGATATGAAAAATTTGTTGACAAAAAGTTAGTGCTGCCAGCGAGTTTCGAACCCCGGACCTCCTGAACACCAATCCGTAACGCTACCAGCTATGCCACGAACGCCGCTGAAATCACATTGTTTCGTTACGGTAATCGTGTCGCCTCAAGAGAAGACATTAACCACTAGAGATATGACGTCACTACACCTTTAGCCTTAGTCCCTTCCGTGTGCCCATTCCGTGGCCGGTCAGTGCAAGTGCAAGCTGCAAGCAACTTTGAGATCAAGATTAGATTACTGATTGTGATTACTACTAAAACCATAGTTATGCTAAAACTAAATAAATATGTCATGTCACTGTCAGTGGTCATTCGAATATTCTGATGAGAAATTGAAATTAGTAGATACGTGATTGTGCAAGTTTTTAGGCTAATACACATCTATGTTGTGTATTTTCTTTTATCAAATGATGTCTGAGGAACTTTAGAGGTACAGGCTATCTTATCATAATTTTGTGTTATTTAAGTTAGCCTAGTATGATATTATATGTCTTTTAACTCCCCCTAAAGTTAAACATCGATTTGAGTTATGATTGGTTACATATTTATTGATATTTAATAAATTAAATTTAATGCGATATTAATATCAAACCGAATAAATAGGTAGGCCTATCGATACATAGGCTAAGAATATAATATATATACTGGTATATCATTATTTACCTGATAATGTAAGGCCAATCGCAGGCTTTCTGCGGAACTGTTCCCCCTAACAATTCTGTGATAGGAAGTTAAATAACATTCTTTTTTGGTCTTAGACCCAAACTTTTATCTTATTTACAAGTTCTAGGTAATGTTATTTTAAATTATTTCAGATTCAAGAAACTCACCGACATTTCGGCCTTGATACAGAGTGCCATCTTCAGGGCGACTTGACTCCACACAGATGAAAAATCAAGTGACTTGATAGTAATACTCATCTGGTATCGTTCGATAACGAAACGAGGAAAGTCCTACAAACATATTTATGTAACCCAACCTAACATAACTGCCGCAGCGCACTGTATAAGGGTGGCCTCCAGATAATAGGTACCAAAGTACCGTGTAAATATATGTTTTAAGTGGTATTAGACTTATATTTTATTTACTTTTCGTAACATTTTAAGCTAGCCATTCTTGATTTGGAACTTCAAAAATTGATTTGAGACTTGAAGTAGGCCTATTGATAGTGCAGTTCCGAAACGGTATTCGAATACCAAGCAGGGGCGGCGGAAGCAAATTTTTGTTAGGGGGACAGAAACCTATGGCGGAGGTCCACATCGGGGGGGTCTGGGGGGTATGGAATACCCCCCAGGGGACAAGGGGGGGTCCGGGGAAAATTTTGAAAAATAGAAGCCTTAAAACGTGTTTTTAGGCTACCTGAAGAACATTTTTCTTCAAGCAGTAACAAAGAAAATTTACAATTTTACAAAGACGCTACTCTGTTCATTATATAAACATTATAATAAATAAGACACACACATCTCAAACAAACAAATACCCTCGCCGCAGCAAACCTGCAGACTAAGCGAATTTCCATTTGATATACACTGAAATGTCTACTTAAAAATATAACATTTATTCCCGATTTAAATAGAATTAGTTTAACAAGTACTTAGGTTTGCTGCATCAGGGAGGTAAAACTGTTTTTTTTAATGTTAATAGTTAGTAAGAAATAAAAACATTTTTCAAATTTGATCAAAATATGTTGATAAACAAGCAAACTACAACAGTTTACTTATTCTCCATAAGAATAACATGGGAATTTTAAATTTACAATTTTTTGGAATTTTCTCCGTAACCATTAGGCGCATAATAACACTTCAATATACTAAATTATTTGTTTTTTTAAGCTCTACAAAATGGTTTGGAAAGAAATTGCTAAATTTTATGTTTTTTGGGTCAAAAATGAGAAAAATCAATTTTTACCCCATAAAACCCCCCGTAAACCCCTGTTCCCATGGTCCGATCATGCTGGATCGCGAACTCGTTCGAATAAACGTAGGTTTACACGTTTGTACCGAATTTCATCAAAATCGGATCATTTTTGCTCGAGTTATCGTGCTAACGGACATATATATATATATATATATATATATATATATATATATGAATTTGAACGGATGGTGTTTTTGGTCTCTAGGGATCTCGAAACGAAAAAAAAAAATCGGTCCCGCGTCCAGGTCTTACCATGAGTACTACGGTAATAGCTTATTCCCTATATGGGAAATTCGCTAAAAACCATATATAAAAAGACAAATATTCGAAATATGTTTTTTAAAATTATAAATTTTATGTTACTTAAAATAAACAGTGTTTCTTGTTTTATATATTGGTTTTCCTTCCGTTGGAGTCGTATATTAGTTGCTTCTGATGTGTCAATGAAAGACAATTGTAAAATAATGATTAAATCAATAACACAACATATTAACAAATGGAAACGTGCACACGGTTTGGCCTGAGCCCGGAGAACGACGAATCAGAGCTGAAATCATACAGCACATCTTTTCTAGTTTACATTTGAAGATTTAAACTTTTCCTAAAAAGTTTAAGTACTGACCCTTCCTAAAATTTCAGGGGGGTCAACTGACCCCCCTGACCCCCTGGTTCCGCCGCCACTGATACCAAGTATAGTAAGGTTGGTGGTATCGCAACGGCCATACCTAGTGGGAATGGTTCCTTACTTTAAGAACTAGGCATATATAAACCTGTTTCTTGATGTATCTGACTAGTAAACAGTTTTTAAGTTTTGGTTTTGATGTTACAAGATTTTAATTTGGTAAACAATACAAAATAATCTGAATGAATGTTAAAATATGCATAAGAGAGTTATCAACATCTATATATTAATAGGCAAGCATGTTTCTTTAAAACCTTTTTCTCAGCTGGTGTGCATCGCAGGGAAAATCTACGCAACTGTTAAAAAAGGTATTTGCCCGAAGATGAGCAGAATCCCTTTATAATTAAAATAGGCTAAAAAAGGACAAAAAATGAATTGTAGATATTTATAGGCATGCACTGTGGATGCAATACTCCCTGGTGTGAGTTAACGTCGGCACTAGTGAGTACTACGACCATCCGCAGAACTATCCTGATAATTAGACCAATTCGTTAATACCAAGGCAAAAATGTGGTTCGGATTCCACTATAACTGTAGGTCCCGTAGTTGTCATTAGCTGTATGGGCTACTAATTAACAGCTGTGTCTAAGGAATATGTCAGCCTTAGTCACTAACAAGTCTACAAGATCGCACCACTCATCCTACACTCACCTCCATTCATACTTGGCTTAAAATACCTACTTAGTATGGGCGCCATTTCAATGAAAAGTCTATAAGTAAGTAAAAATAAAATAAAAAGTTAACATGGGTCTTAAGGGTTGCCATGCTGGTGACAAAATAACAATGAAATATAAACAGAAAACCAAAACAAATGGAAGAAATTCCAATCACATCTTTTATTTACAGCATGAGGTGGTGGTCGAGTGCTATTTACAGTGGTCGAGTTTTCGACCACGAGGCGACCACTATTATGTATATATTTATGTGGAAAGACCATCTTTAAAATTTCAGCATTTATTAGGCCTACAGGACCTATGTTTTTTAAGTTAATTGGTCTTTACTATGCTGACATTTTCCAAGATTGAACTTCTTATTCAAAGACTAATTAATTGGAACAAACTGTATAAGCTATAATTTATTTTATTTCAGGTTTACTGCGACTTATGATAAAGCCTTCAACAACAAGTATATTTTTGATCACTCATCGTTTAATGTCAGCGATGGCTAGCAACATTGTGAACAGTGAGGTGATCAAACATTGCAAGCCTTTGATCCCTGAACTCTCTTACTCCAAGCACAAAGGAGAAAGTGGAAGGATTGGAGTTTTTGGAGGATCTAAAGACTTCACAGGAGCTCCTTATTACGCAGGAATGAGTGCGTTGCGAACTGGAGCAGACCTAGTTTTCGTCTTCTGCGTCCACGCTGCTGCTCAGCCAATCAAGTCATACAGCCCAGAATTAATGGTGGTCCCGTTTTTGGACGTTGATATGCCTAAAGAAGAAGAAAACAGTTGGTTGAAAAAGCTGCACGCAGGGATCATAGGACCAGGTCTCGGGAGGGATCCTGATGTAATGACACGAATCAAAACATTGATACCAAGTTTAAAAAGTGCAAACATTCCTTTAGTGTTTGATGCTGATGGTCTTTTCTTTTTATCAGAGAACCCAACAGTTTTGAAAGACTACTCGAACGATATTTACCTTACTCCAAACGCTCATGAATTCAGCCTACTTTGCGATGCGGTGCTAAAAGGTGAAGACATAACTGTTGCGGATTATGAAGTTACAGGCAAATTGCTATCAAAAGCCATCGGACCACGTGTGACTGTTGTGATTAAAGGTGAGCGGGACATAATTGTTCGAGGTGATTCGATTTTAAACTACGAAAATACAAAAGGATCTCCTCGAAGATGCGGTGGACAGGGAGATGTGCTCAGTGGTTGTCTTGGGACTTTTGCCTACTGGGCCACAAAGGCTGACCAGAAAGAAGGAATGGACGCTCCCCAACTATATGCAGCTCTCGCAGCCACTACCATCGTCAAGGTTTGTAATCGGATCGCTTTTGAGGACAAAGGACGAGGTATGTTGACAACCGACATTTTGCAAAAGCTTCCACTAGTTTTTGACAACTTGTTCGACGATAAGTGGAAATATTTGATAGATCAAAATAAATTGTTATTGAATAAAAAGTAAAATGAGCATAGCTTGTGTCGCTTTGTTACAGAAACAATCTAGGATCAAAAATGAGTTAATAATACATGAATTGCATTACTTAGAATTTCACTACCTATTCAACAGTTATTAGGTCAAGTTTCTTTTTGATCCAATAATAATAATACCTTTGTAGTTACCATTACAAAGATCTTGCCAAGTATAGGCCCTAGTAAAATAATAGGAATGCTTGCGTCTCGTGTAAGTCTACCAGTAATAATTAATTATAAAGTAATCTTCCACTGTCTTTAATCGTTTTCAATAGAATATCTTTCATTCCCCAAAAGTATTTAGCTATCCATCAGTTATTAAGCGGACAACAGCATTCAACTAATTAAAACATATAGCCTAAAACTTTCACTTTTAAATGTGTTTTCAACATACTGTACCTTGATAATAATATATTTAGGACCAATTTTACTGTCTTAAAACTAATTAAATTTGATTTGCTATTAATATTTGGTTTGGATGAATAATAATTCTTTCCTCAGCTTCTTCAAGCCACATCCAAACTGAAGCAAAGGCTACCTTACAGTTGTTTACTTAAGTAAAGGAGCATTTATTTTGTATTTTTCTATCTTTAAACTACTTTAGAACTAGAACCTATTAGATCTGGTGCCAAATATAGTTGTAAGGGAGTTGTCTATTACTAATTGTCTTTTTGAAATAAAATTATGGTTATCAGTATATGATGTGTTCATCATCACACCTTTTAAACCATAGACTTGTTAGCTGGCAATAGAAAAAATTAAGTTTTTCAAAACATTTGAAAAGTCCAACATAAGTTAGCTGAAAACTATACCTTAAATGTGCTGCTACAGCATTTTTCCAAGAGAATTTAAGGAGGTAGTTTTAGAATTTAGGTAAAAAGGTAAAAAAAAGTAAGATCTCTAAAGTGATCTTTTAGTTGTGTATCTATTGGCCTCTGAACAATTTTTCTCACGTAAGCCACCTCAACTAAATCCCTTTTTTAAATACTTCCGTAGTTTAGTATGTTTTCTAAGGGCCGGAGCGTATGAAATGCCGCCGATAGTACGGGCAAAAATGTCTAGGACTACACGAAGCCGACAATCAGCAGCGTATTGAACGCAAGAGCATTGACTACACGAGCATATAGAACGCCGCCGACTGTCCTCGCCCAATGTGACTGACATTTGGACCGTTCCAATATGGACACGATACAGGTCGGATGTGTCGCTGGTATGGTATTGTTGCAGGCTGTTAAGAAGAAATGTCGCGCAATGAGGCGTTGGTAGTCACACTGAACATTATCAAGCCGTTTAGTAACAGGGCAGTTTCGATTCAATTAATGTTTAATACCCATAGAATATACCCAGACAAACTTTTTCAGCAAAACAAATACAAAATATTAAGGAACAAAAAACAATCAGACGACTACAATTACAACAAGTAGTGCAGATGTAGAATTTGACTTGCCCTAGTGAGGGGAGGGATGTATCAACATAGGAATGTTAGAATGTAACATAGGAATGTTAATGTGTAGGAGAATGTTAGTTGCCGCTACGTGTAGTCCGGTGCGCCGACGATCTGCCCGAGTATTTTACGCATCCAGAGGCGTTAGATCTGCCGAGCACCTGAATTACGCGTCCTCACCAGGCAGACAAAACGCTCGTGTAGTCCACATCTTATAACGCTATTGGCTCTGCAAAAAATGCAGACGGTCGGGGGCGTTTCAAACGCTCGTGTAGTCCGGCCCTAAGAAGAAAATGTGCAAGACTTAAATAAAAAAAAACAACACTTCAGTTTGATTTTGAAATTTGTATATAGCTTGTTAAAAAATTCTTAGTAATCATTGAAAGAGCCGATTTGCAAACTATGGAAACATGGGAAAGTCATAGACACCAACAAGGAGAAGAAGTAGAAACAATGTTTTTTTATTATTTATAATCGTTATTATGGTCAACCTAATGCGGCTATGAGTAAGGCTATTTGTAGAAAACACCAAAAAACAAGATCAGCTTTTGAAAAATGATAAGATATTTACAAGAAATGTTGATTATATCGATCTGTTATGTACATCTTTATTATATTTCCATAAATCTGGGAAGGGAACTTTAAAGGCTTCTGGGAATTTACTTTGTTTTTCTTTTGATGGCTCATCTGCAGACTGAGAACTTTCTTTGGACACCTCTACCAAGTTTCTACGCCCAGCCGTTCTCTCAAATTAGTGGAGACAAAGTTTCCAATAAAATATTTAGATTCCCCCACGTCAATCTTATGGTAGAAAACCCAACTTCAATGTAAGATCCTGTCCAAACTAATTAAGATTTCAAAAAATGAAAAACACTTTGCAAAAGTACAGATCAGGGCAATTTTTTTATACTTTAATCATCGGTCCAAAAATGAGGGAGGAGTTCTGTTTACAAAAATCAGCTTAGCGTATTATATATATAGAAGATAGATATTATCGGATAGACCAAGAACAAAAGAGGAAAAGGTTATACAGCAAAAGTTTACCCACCAATTTGTAGTTTTAAATGGAGCTTGTGCTACTCTCACTGGGTCCCCTGATGGAAATTTGGATCCAGCTGATGTAAAATTAATTAAAAAATAGGCTACATTATGCTTTTGCTCAACAAAGAACAACGTAAGTTTATTTTTGAACAAAATAACTTTGGTATCCAAATAACCAAGAAATACCACATCCTCCATTTATTAAGTTTATTTCAGTTAATCTCCTAGACTAAAATAAAATATGGATGACATAATGCATTTCCAACAGGTTCAGATTAATGAGGGTTTACTCTTGTCAAAAAATTTACCATTCTGTCTTCTCAAACACTTGTATAAGAAAAGTATAGGAATATATAATTAAACAGGTATCAACAAAATTACTTTATTAGTACAACTAATGGTTAACAACACAAAACACCTAAATACCAGCCTTACAAGTATTATCATCTTCTGGTAAAAAACTATAAACATCTATGGACTTAACATATTGCCTCTATTTCAAAAGATCAAGTGAACCAATAAAATTGTTCATATTTTTTTTAAATTAGATAATGTTTTAGGTGGAAATTACTTTTGTATTAAAAGAGTACATAGCATAAATAAACAATTTGCCTAACAAAAAGTATCTTATGTTTAATCAAGTAAAATAAAGTGATAGTTTAACTGATAGGAAGACATTGTTGGATAGAAATTAGTAAAATATTTACAAAACACGTTTAGAATATTAATGGACATATTGAAACCCACTTCTAAACTCTAGAAATTTACATGTACCTCTTGGATTTGTCAAGTAAAAAAAATCTTTTTTGATTTTTAATTATTATGATAGAACCAAATTATAATTACCGATTATGTGTGCATCCTTAACATAGTAAATTTTGGCAGAGGGCGTCAGAGCCAGCCTGGGCCAGCCTCAGGTGATACGAGGCCTAGTGCAAACAATTAGAGCGGGGCTTACTACCCTTATTTCTACTAAAAAGTTGTAAACCAACTATACCAATCAACAAAAATTTATACATAAAATATTAGTGTAATATCCCTTTTACAATTCTTCTGGTTGTAATAAAATTAGAATTGTTCTCAATTCCTGTAAAAGGATTAATTACCGAAACAAATCAAACTTAGAAACAATTAAACATTGTACGGTTCAACTTTTGTGGAAATTAGACCTTTCGAACTAAATCACAGAAAAAATCAATTCTTTTTTGAATGTAACATTTTCATCATTGTTTTATTCTAGAAAACTTACAAAAAGTCAACATAAATCAACTGCCAAAATTATACAATTAAAATACAGCTGATTTTCAAATTTATAAAATATTAAGCATAAGTCCAGTCAAATATAAGCGTTGATCATAACTTCATCAGTCATTTTCACATCCTCCCACCTTGAGGAATGTAAGGTAACTGTCGCCATGTTTTACAATTCTTCTAGTTATAATAAAATTAGAATTGTTCTCAATTGTTTTAATTACTGAAAAAAATCAAACTTAGAAACAATTAAACATTGTACGGTTCAACCTTTGTGGAAATTAGACCGTTCGAACTAAATCACAGAAAAAATCCATTCTTTTTTAATGTAGCAATTTCATCATTGTTGTAAATCATTTTAACTTTTGGCCATTCTTCTGGAGGCTGTCTTAGCCACTGAGGGCCCTCCCACCATTTACAATCAACTAGACCCTTAGCCGAGCATCCTCTACTAGCTACATCAGCGGGGTTTAGGTTTCCAGGTACATACCTCCAAGAGTCTTTACAAGATAATGACCTTATTTCTTGACATCTATTCCAAACAAAAGTAGCCCAATTGTCTTCTCGTTGAATCCAAGATATGACTGTGGTTGAATCGCTCCAAAAATGTGTTTCTAAATCAGAGATATTAAGACTATCGAAGATTGACCTTCCAATTCTGGCTCCAATTGTGGCTGCTAGTAGTTCCAGTCGAGGGATTGACAGGTCTTTCACTAGTGCTACTCGTGACTTTGCTGCTACAAAATGAAGATTGACTGATCCATTGGCCTCAGTCCTTAGAAATGCGACAGTAGCATATGCGAATTTACTAGCGTCACAAAATATATGCAAACTAAAAGTACCATCCTCCCCAGCGAAAAAACGAGGGATGTTAATCTCACTTAAATATCCCAGATCTCTGAACCATTTCAGAAAGTCACATCTTATGTCATCTGAAACCTCTTGATCCCATTTGAATTTCATGGACCAAGTCCTTTGCAATAGAATCTTAGGGAGCAGTGTTACTGGGGAAGAAATCCCAACAACATCATAAACTTTGTGAGTAATAGAAAGCATTTTACGCTTTGTAACTACTTGCAAGTCAACTGATTTGAGAAAATCAACATTAAGTTTAAGCACGTCAGTTCTCTTGTCCCACAGCATACCTAATACACCAACAGGTTGAGTAGTGGGTGAGAGAGTTTTGTCAGTAAACTCCCACCCTCTAAGTTCAAATTTCCCATCTAAAAATAAACTAGTTGCTTGGGAAATGAAATCATTCAGTTCACTTTCAGAGCTCACACTTGTTACACAATTGTCGACATAGAAACTATGCATGAGCTGTTCGACATAAGGCTTGGAATATCCATTTCCCCTTATAGCAAAACTTAAATGATAGTTAATGGTAGCTGCCAGTAAAAATGGACTGCAGGTCACACCAAAAACTACTCTTTTGTGTCTATAAATTTTGAGGTTTCCATCATCATCATACCACAAAAATCTTAGGAAATCTCTATCGGACTTAGACAAACTGATTTGCAAAAAAGCTTTCTTAATGTCAGAAATTACACCTATTTCTTTTAATCTGAAGCGAAACAGAATGGAAGGAATTAATTCAATCAAATTAGATCCTTTACTGAGACAGTCATTCAATGAAGGTTGATTATACTCCTTAGCGGATGCATCAAAGACAGGTCTTACCTTTGTTGTACTGTTTTCCTTGTAGACGGGCCGATGAGGCAAATAATGTCCCAACTTACCAAAGTCAGCGGTGTATGGGACTTCTTCAATTATACCTTCTTGTTCCCATTCTTTGAACGTGGCATCATAAACATCATATGTTTTCTTTTCCTGGAGTTTTTTCACTGTTGATTCAAGTCTCTTGACCGCTATGTTGACATTGGTCGGCAAGGGTGGATGCCCTTCTCTCCAAAGTAAAGGCACCTCATAACGTCCGTCATCATTGATCTGAACAGATTTGT